ACCATCTTTAGAATTGGATTGACATTAAGTTTAAAGAGATGGCCAATATCCAGAAATAAACTTCCATTTATATAGAAGATTTTCCCTAAATCAGATGTATGTGTAGAACTTAAATGTTAAGTACTTTAAAAAGGATATATACTGTTAGTATTTATTATCAGAACTAAAGCAAGTAAGTACAGCATTTCAGTCGTATTTTGTTATTGTTGTATGATAATTGAACTAAAATAAAACATTTTGAGTACAATAGAATATGAAAGTTTTTTTCACATATCTAAAATGTTTTGCAGTTTTAATTTTTTGTAGATAATTCCAAGTTAGACAATAACTGTAAACTTGAAGTTTTTGTACAATTAAAAGAAAAGAAAGTCTGTAAATGATGTACAGATTTTTACTGTGTTTAGGATTGAGATTTGAAATTACCTAAAACTTAAATGGGCTATTTAATAGTACATTTATTATTTGTTGTATATCACAATATTTGAACCTTTTTTAATAAACCATTATAATATTATAAATTTATTCAAGATTTTAGAGAATACTTTGATCTAATTAAGTATGCACTGTTATTCATCAGTAAGCCAAAATACTTCTATCAGTACTGTTACAACTACAACTTTCACACAAGGGGTAAAATCAGAAGTCAGGTAGGAGTTATAATTAAATTTGAAATAAATACTTACAATGTGGGGTTTGTGGCATTACGTTTAAGATGAAATGTGAAATATTTATAAATTTCTGTTTAATATTTAGTAGGAACTTGAACTGTGCAAATTGAAAAAGGATACAATATATAAATAATTCTTTTATTTTTTTTCATTTCCAAAGGATAATGGGCCTATCTGTACAGTTCCATTTTCCTTTCATCCAATTCTAATTTCAGAAATACTCATCCCATGTGCTTCTAGGTTCTTTCAGTGTTGTTACAGTATTAAGAGATTTTAATATATACAATAATCTCTCCAGGTAATGGTTGGAGACGGCTTGAATGGGCAATGAAGCAAAACTTTAATATAAGTTTAACATAACAGCAAATGTACAACGTTTCGACAAGGTTTTGTCATCATCAGGTACAAGTAATTTACACTGACATGGATATATATGTATACAGTATTGAACAAAGAAGACACATGACCGGAAATGTTGAATCCAAAATTCACCGCAAAAACACACACACTGG